CAAGATCCACACAACTTCTCTCTGCCCAGAGGTGACTTAGGAATTTGTGTATTCCTGCAGCCAACGGTTAATGGTTAGAAATCCATCCGTAAAATTTGGCCAGAAAGCTATAATTTTCCCTCTGGAAGATTGCCCCATTGTGTAGAGATTTTGCTTGTTTGTTTGTTTGTTTGAATTCTGGTAAGATGCTAAAAATATCATGGGGCTCATTGTTGACAAGGGCAGCTAAGTGTTTCTAAATCGGGATTTCAGTGGATTGTGCTGCCCTTACGTGGAAGCTTTCTCTGAGAAAGAATAAGTGTGATGAAAAGGGTCAGGATGCAAATACACCATCCGGTTTATTTTAATTCAGTAAAGACTTTGCTCAGTCATTTAAGGCTGCCGAAGGCATTTTAACTACCGTAGGATCCCGATGTGTCACCACTGGGTCCACCGCCCTTTTACTAGTGTGGTTTCTAGTCTATACTAGATGACCAATAAGCACGGAATGGGGGGATGGAGGAGTGATGGCATTAACTCTAAGGGGTTCCAAGGTCCTGGCTATTTTTCTCTTCAACCCCCCACTCAAAATTCTGTTTCCCAGAAAGTGCTCAAATTATACCAAGTGAGCCTGGTTTTCAGTGACCTCTATGTGAACACCAGCTTCCCTAGCACAGTCTCTTCTTACAGAACCTGTCAGAGTGTCTGTTCTCTTCTTTCTACAGAGAATATAACTTGCAGGAGTGTTTTCAAACTCCTCTGATGGTAAGAATCACCCGTGATGCTTACTCAACACTGCTTCCCAAGTCCTTCCCGTGGATCTCTACCTCAGTTGCACATTAGATTCAACCAGGGAGCTTTAAAATTGCTGTTGACCAAGCTGTCTCCCAGACCAATTCTATCAGAAACTCGGTGTGGGATCCAGGCATCAGTAGCTTGAGAGCTCCCTGGGTGGCTCCCATGTGCAGCCAAGAGCCACCGTTGTAATCGTGATCAAGCAGGTCTGCTTTGGGTCCTTGGAGACTGTATGCAGGTACCCCAGGTAATTCTTATCCTCAGGGAGAGATTTTGGAAATACTGGTCTTGAAGGCAGGTCAAGCACTGTTTCTGAAAGGTGGGTCCATTATCTTGTAAGACTGGTCAGTTGAACTCACTCCCCTGTAGAGCTTAATGGTCCAGTGGCAAACATCTAATCAAATTGGATCAGTCACATTCTCTCACCTGGGATACTGGAAGGGGTGTCACTTGGTTGCAGATGGTGTCCTGTGTAAGAACATGTGAAGTAGATTTGGGATGGTCATGTTTATGCCAATGCATGGTGACTCAGGGCGGGGAGGGTGAACACCTGGTGTGGACCCACTGAGAGAAGAGAAGTCATGAGACACCAATTCCATGATAAATGAAATCTACCAATGGCAGACTCCAATGAAAAATGCAGGGACCAGGAAAAACGGTATGTTGTAGGCATTTGTATGCTCACCTGGAACAGTTTGAGTCCTACTTTTGCTAAGTCCATCTTATTAGATCATCCACCAAGCCTCCAAGCTTAGATAATGGAGAGAGACCAACCCACTAGCCCTTTAGACTTGGAGACACCAAGTAACGCACTGCTTGTGTCAATTTCTTCTGAACCCCTGAAGGAGGCTCACAATGGTCTCTTGCTTGCTCCTGGTCTTACTTGTGAGCATCTTGTGGAAGTCCATGTTAAAAATCCTGCTTGTGAGTGAGAGCTCCCATTGCGTCTATGGTTCCTACTGATTCCATACTCTCAATCTTGAGCAATTCCTGAAAACTTTAAGATGATTCCTAGTGTTGCTTCTTCTCATGACCTGCCATGTGGAAAACCTGTGCTCCCATCCCAACTCCCCTTGGAGAGAGGCCTGTGTTCACTTGGAAATTGGGCTGGCTTGCCCTGTAGCTTCTCATGGATCTGAGAAAAGTTAGTTCATCTGCTTTTTCTTGTTGTTAGGGCAGAAGTCCTACTCTGTCCAGCGTCCCATACCCAGGGTAGAAGTGGGACACCCTCTCTACATAAAGGTTTTAAGCTTTCAGCAATATCCCTTCCTCTCTTAGACACATACATCTATGTCAATATCCAACCAGTCATTTGTCAGATGATCAAATTAACTAAATCTTTCTGCATTATATATGTAAGTATTGATTGATCTTCATGAACTATTTGTTGGTATACAGACACATGAATCTCATTTTTTATCATTTCTTCAAATACATTTCCCTACAGGCAATTTATGCTTGGAATTTTTTAAATACTATTTTAATGCTCGTGTCTCTTTACTTTTTCAGTACGGTAAAAAAGTTCAGCACTTGTATGGGTGTCTTAGGGCTGCCATAGTAGACTGCCACACACTAGTTGGCCTAACAGAACAGAAATTTATTCTTTCACAGTTCTGGAGACCAGTGATCTGAAGCCAAGGTGTAGGTAGTTTTGGTTGCTTTTTGGGGCTCCTTAGGTGTTCCCTGTCTCTCTCCTAGCTTTTTGTGGTTGCCAGCAATCCTTGGTGCCCCCTGGTTTGTAAATACATCACTCCAATCTCTGCCTCCCTCTTCACATGGCCTTCCTCACTCCATATCCTCTCCTCTTCTCATAAGGATGCTTATTGTGAGATTTAGGATCTACCCCAAATCCAGGATCATCTCATCTTGTGATTCTTAACTTACTTACATCTGCAAAGACCTGTTTTCAAATAAAGTCACTTTCATGGGTTCTGAGGGTTAGGACTTAAACATATCTTTTTGGGGACCTACAGTGCTACCAATGCAGGTTTACTAGGTCATACATCTTGGGTTGTTTTTATAGTTGTAAGTTTTGCATTCCACTGAGTCATTTAAAACGAGCCACCATGGAGCCATAATGATTTGAATAATTTAATCTGCTATGCAGGGATTAAGAAGAACTAAATTTAAAATTCATATCTTCGCTAATCCATTTACTAGTTGAGAGACCCTAGGTAAGTTAACTAGGACTCTGTGCCTCACTTTTCCCATCTGTTAAACAAAAATAACATTACCTACATTCTCTCAATGTTGCCCTGAATATTTAATTAAATGAGCCCATGTAGGCAAAGCAGGGGCAAATATGAAGCACTAACAAATGTTGACGACCTTTCCCTTTGACCTCATATTGTTAGTCATTAAATCCACAACCTCTTCCCACACAAATTGATTAGGTTATGCTTCATGGCATGTTTCTGTTCATTCAGAAATGAAAGCAAGAAAGAGGCCTGGGATGGAGTCAGGAGAAGTAGGTTCTAACCCAAACATACTACCACCCAGCTGCTAAACGTGGCTTACTTCTCTGGGCCTCAGTTTCCTACACATAAAACAAAGTGCACCAAAGTTACTGGCCATCTCCAACTCCCTTAGAACCCCTATGATATTGAATTTACATCTTGGTTGGTAGAATAAGCGTCAGAGAAACTTCCAGACTTTCTTCTCATTTATTCCAGACTTCCCCACCATTAGCGATGCACTGATAATCTCTTCACTCAGAGAGTAAAGTCAACACAATCCAGAGAACTAAAAACAAGGCCTCCCTTTTCCAGGAAAGAAGGCTCGGATTTGGGGGTTAAACAGATGCACGCATATGTGGGGGCTTTTCTGCCAGGCTCGCTGGACAGTGTATTCAAGGCTTGTCTCCTCCTAGGGGACCCAGCACCGCCCCAACCTCACTCTCACACAGACCAGCGTTTACGGCCACTCCAAACCTCCCAAGTATGTATTTCATAAAAGCAGGACCTGGTTCAAATCCCCTGTAATGTCTCCAAAGGGAAAGAACAGGGTGGATAATCAGGGCTGCGTCTGTGTGTTGTAAATTCCCCAATCCCCTATGCCCTCTCCTGCTAGCACGCACAGGCGCACGCACACACACATAAACACAGCCATAAATATATACACTCCCATTTAATAGACTGGGGATTCAAATTACAGTTACAGTGTCATAAAACTGACTAATCCTCAGGGTGTGTGCAGAAGTCTTTGTGTGTGTGTGTGAGAGAGAGAGAGAGAGAAAGAGAGGGAGAGAGAGAGAGACTTACAAGCCTTCTTTACTTGAGGTCTTAAGTTCCCAAAATATGCATTCTTCTGGGGCATTTTAATAAGCTGTCCTCATAATTGTCCTAGAAGCCTCATACCTGGATGCAGGGTTGGCTAGATAATTTGCAGGCCCAGTGCAACATAAAAACACAGGGCCTCTTCTTCAAAACATATTAGGAATTTCAAAACAGCAACAGCAGAGCAAGAAACCTAGTGTGAGATTTTCTGCATGCAAGGCCTGCCCTGTGTGCTTGCGTAGGTCACACTCCAGGAAGCCATCCAGCTAGGCAACTCATAGTGAGCCTGGATCCGTGTCTTGCAGCTTATAGGATATATCACCCCGGGATGTGCTGTGAACGTGGGTGGCATCGTGGAAACCAAGGGGTCTGTAAGATCAGACCAGCCTGGTGTGAATCCTGCTGGACCGCATACTACTAAACAGAGTCACTTTGGACACTTCCATGGGTCATTCTGAATTTCAACTTCCCATCTAGTAAATGGTGACAGGGCGACCCACTTCCCAGAATTACAAGTAATATTAAATGCAATCAGACATCTAAACCCTTGGGGGCCCCCAACAGGTGCTCACACTGCCCTTCCTTTGGGCACAGGTCTGCAAATCTGTTCCAACAAACAAAACACACACATAAGATATTCAAAGTGAAGCCCTTGTCATTGGGGTTTGCAAATGGTCACCGGTTCAGGGGAGAGCGAAGACAAGTTGCAAGGGGAAAGGGGGGAGGGGAGAGAGAAAGAGAAAGAAGAAACACTTAGCAGCGGGAAGTTTGAAGAGCCCCGGCTTTGCTTTCTTGGCAGGGACGGGGAACTTTCTGGCAGCCCGGTTCCCGGAGCCTGCCGGCGGCTCCGCGCCTCCTATTGGTCCGCCCGCCGCTGTTGCTACGCGGACGGACCAATGGCGAGCGAGCGAGGGGCGGCGGGCTCCTCCCCTTCCCCGGCTCCGTTGCGGCTGCAGCGCGCCTCTGCCCGGTTTTGGGGTTTTGTTTTTTTTGTTGTTGTTGTTCTGTTTTGTTTTCCAACGAGGGGCCGGGACGGAGTTGGGGGCGCCGCCTGAGCCGGACCCACACCTCCTGCGCCTCGCCCGAGGCCGGGCGCCTGCGGAGTTGCACCTGTCAGACTAGTTCTCCGCTCCCGGCTCGGCCCCGCTGGCTTTGCACAGCCCGAAGGTACAGGGCGGGGCGCGCGGGCGGCTCTATTAGGATTTCTCCTTCCTGCTCCCTGTGTGCGGTTCAGGTTTTAATAACTCTGTCAACTCGGTGAACTTGGGCGAGAGCACCCGCAGCTTCTCTGGCCTCCGTTCTTCGCCCCTGACCAAAAACCAGCCTCTGAGTCACTTGCAAAAGCAGCAGCCCTCCTACCTCCTACACCCCCCAGCCCACAGGCTGGAGCATTTGCATGGAAGAAGCAGGGCCTCCGTTTAGAGCCTGGAAAAGTGCCCAGGAGGGAAAGTTTCTGCGAGACAGAGAAGTGAGATGTATGCGGCATTGGGTACTTTGGATTAATCAAAACTATTGTACATACAGTCACATTGATAATAATGTCATCTGCCCTACCAGACGCTGTGCTGAGCAATTGCCATGCTGTATTCTATTTCAAGCTTGTTATGGATGGGTAAACCGAGGCACAGTGCAGTGAGTGGCATGCTTGCTGCAGGTCTACAGGCAGAAGCAGGACTTGAACCTGAGTATGCCTCTGGCTCCAGAACCCTTGGTTCTCTCCATATCCCTGTGTTGTTGCACAACTCTAAGATAGTCCATGTGTTCTTAGGTCCCCCATCTGTGCACGTGTCTCAGTGGAGTTCATGCCCCCCACCGGGCTGTACCCTGTCCCAGCACAGCTCCCAATGGGTGTGTTTATGACCCCAGGCTTCTCCTAGCCCATCACTAGTTTTAACACTTGCATGTTATGTGGATCTTCCTTCGGATTCATCTTGTTTACGGCTTCACCACTATGGTGGTCAATATGGCAGCAAAATTAACCCTGTTTATAGGTGGGGACAATTAGGCGCAGAGAAGCGGTGCACCTGGCCCAAAGTCACAGTAGCAGAGTGGCAGACCCAAGATTTGCCTCCTCCCTAGCTAGCTTCCCTGCTCTCCAAGAATGCCCGTTGCCTATACATTATGAATTTAAAACAACAAAATGTAGGGTTTGGGAAGTCCAGAAGCAAAAAAAGAAAGAAAAGTCAGTGAGAAATGAAATATATTCTACTTTTTGTTTGGAGACTTCCTGAGAAGTGGCCCCTGAGCTGGGAGCAGGGTTGACTGGTAGAGGAGCATCTGCTGGCAAGGCTGGTTTCTACTTGGCAGAGGGCTGCCTACCATCCTAGCCCTTGTTCTGAACCTGGCACCAGAGGGAAGCGTGTCTGTACTCAATCTGCTGTTGCCTAATAGGCTCAGCAGAAAGGCCCCAACTAGCCTTCTCTCTTCGCTTTGCAGAGGACCTGGGCATACGTACATCTTTCATAACAAAGAAGAAGCCTAAGGGATGTTTCTTTTTCTGATGACTTAAAGGAGATGCCTTTGAACTCCATAACCAGTATTACCCAGCTGGTGAGAGTCTTTCTAGCTCCACCCATCCCCAGAGACTCCCTCTGTCCCAGAAAGATAGTACTGTCTCCTTCCTTAAATCCCCCTAGCTTAAAAAGCCTAGCTGAAACCCTGCTTATAATCTTTCACCATAAAGTTTATTTTCTACAACTTTTCTTTAAAACCTATGGAAAAGAAAAATCGGGATTGGAGCAAATCAGATTATTGTTTGTAGAGGCTGATAAAATGAATAGTTGTTGCCTCCAGTGTCTTACTATCTTTTTTAGGCAGCCCTGGCTTTTGAGAATGTTTGCAAAGTAGCTTTCTTCCTGACCACTAACCTAAACCCCTCCTGTTTCAACCTCTACTCCCTGCCAAGCTTTGTCCATTCGGTGAGACACCGACCTACCTGCACAATGCTTTGTCTCTCCTTTCGGTATTCTTTTTAGCCAAGAACCCTGCAAGCTCCTTTCTCTCTTCCACAATAATTCCCTTGGAGTATACTCTGCCTCTGTGCTAGACACTGGGTATTCCCCCCACCCCATTGCAATCAAGTGGGAGAAACATTATTACCCAAACCCCATCCAGCTATCAGACTTACTGTTATCCATGTTACAAAGGAGACGTGGATGCATGACATAATCACAGAGCGTGACAAAGGGACTGAAAATCGTTTGGAGCCATCAAAACAGGCTTCATGGATGATGTGATGCTTGAGCTGAGGTTACATGGATGGACATAGTGTTGGGGATGAGAGCCAACAGGAAGAAGAACCAGCATGGGCAAATGTCCTCTGTTGGGTCTGACGTCCATGTGTCCACTGAGTACAATTAGCAGAGACTGCTGTAGTTCAATCCACTTTTTATAGATGGGAAGTTACTTTTTATTGAGGCTGGTGAAAATCACCTTCTCCAAAAACCTTGATCTTTCCCCTAAGACAAGAAATTGGGACCATATGTTTAGGCCTGGTCTTGCTAGGTGGGTGTACAGCTCACCAAAGGGATAAAATCAACACATTTTTCACTGCTTCCATAATCAGGGAGTGGGAACATTGGAGCCCTACTGATTTCTGCCTTCTCCCAGTGTAGCTTATATTATTAAGAAATGTTAAACTTTCAGTGTCTGTGAACTGAAGAGCTCAGATTCAAATGCCACCAAGATTTATTACATGCTGAGTAGAAGCCTGGTATTTCCTAAGTATTACCCCCTGAGAACCCTTACAACAACTCTGGGAGATAGAACTTTTCAACCCCTTTCTGCAAATGAGAAAATCAAGGCCCAGAAAACCCTTGGATCCTGACTCCAAGTGTGTGTCATGGGTGCAGACTACGATAAAGTATTCTTTGACAGCACACAGAATGAATGTTTTATGTCACTGGCTCACAAAAGATCAGGTTTGATTAGTATTTCAGAGCAACTATCTTTTTTTGTTAATTCTTACACAGTGTTTGATCTGGAACACCCCTGATATATCCACCCTCAACTTGAATTTCTTCCCTAATAGGAAATTCACTGCTTTTTGGATGAAGCCAGGTTGAATTTCAGATCTGGATTATCCTAAAAAGCTTTCACCTTCAAGACTTCCAATTGGCCCAAACAGAAAACATTACCTTTTTAGGAAAGATACTGATTCAGTGTTTAAACAAAGGCAGTAGGCATAAACAGAATCAGGTGTAATAACAGCAAAGCTCCTGACTTAGAGGTGGTATCAGCCCTGCACATAAAGGAAGAACCCAGAATAACTTCATAATGAAGATCATAATCTAAGTGTCCAAAAGCCCTTGAGGGCTGTGCTCCCATTGCTCCCTGCAATCTCTCCTATGTTCACAGGAGCCTGAATTATGACATTAATTGAGTCATCCATTCTACTCAGTGGTCTTCCATTGGAAACTCTTCTTGACTTAATACTATCAAAATGAGGCTGTCAGGTTCACCTTTACAGGCTTTAACGCCTGGGTTGGTGATGAAGGGATATGGAGTTGCCATTTTTCAGAGCATCTGGAGTCAGCTTTCCAACTCCAGGCATCCTATATTCTTGTTGCCCTTCCTCTTGGGTGCTTCCCTGATGGACACCAATTAGCTTGCACCTATCATAAATGTCAATCACAGCAGCTTCCTCAAAGTCTTTCTTAGTTTGTCCATCTGTCCATCCATCCATCCATCCATCCATCCATCCATCCATCCATCCTTCCACTCATCTATTCAACAACTATTTATTGAGCTCCTACTATGGGAACACTGGGAGGATGTTCACACAGCAGTTCTGTTCCTGCTTTCATGACATTTACAGTCTAGTGGAGGGAAAAAGACAATGTTTAAAGGACCAGTAATGAAATGTCAAGTCCCCATGATTATGCATGATTACATCTCCCCTTCAAAATATTCCCTCTGGCTCCTGGCTCCTGTGAATGGAATGGGAAATGGAGATGAGGACATTGTCTCCGTCAGTTGCTCACACCGCTAACATTTAATCACCCTTCCCTGTTAATTTCCTGTAAGCACTGCTCAGGCCCTGAAAGTGCTGCTGGCTTTTGTTTTTTTAATTCTTTACCAGTTGATGATCTGCCTTTACTCCACTAGAAAGAAAGCTCTGTGAAGGGAGGAACTTTCTCTCAGTTGCTCCCCTCTAAACCCCAGGCACCACAAGAATTCCTGGAAGGAAGTGAGAGCCCTGTCATATTTGTTGGGCCAATGAATTGACTCTTTTTTCAAACCTGAGTGAGGCAGGAATGCTAGAAGCACCCGAGAGAAAGTGAGCAGAAGTTACAAGGGGCAGTTAGAGCCACCTGTGCCTATTGGGAATGTCCATCCCTTGGCTTGTATTATTGTCACTCAAAGAGGCTCCAGTCTGCTCCTTGTTCCGGAATCCTTTGGAGATTTGGACAGAAGACTCTTCTTTGTTTTAATAATTTAATTACTGGTTAACAATTAAATCCAAGTTCAGAGATAACTTCTTGAATTTGCAACTGAAGAGCTTTTTTTTTCTTCTTGTTTCTTCTACTCCCTAACCACCCACCCCTCTCTCTTCCGAGAAATTGGTGCCAACCATAAAACCCACATACTTAGCAGTTGGCTGTGGAAGCACATGATGATCTCTCACCTTGAACAAGGAAGGGAGAAATGGAAAACTTGATCCCCAGGTGGCTTTATAGGAACCAAAAAAATAAAAATAAAAATGGAGATGCTGGCATTGTCCACTGCTTATAGTATTTTCCTTTTTTAAAACAATCATTATGTTTGTGCTTGCAGCATGCTTGGTAATCACTTCTGACCCTCATTTTCTACATCAGCACAACGTTTTATCCATTTTGAGGAAGCTGCAGTTGAGGTCAAGAGTGGGTGAGGGCCTCTTTCTTGAGTGAGGCACAGCACAGACAGCTCAAGCCCTGATATGGATCGACTCCAGAAGAGCCTTTTTTGTCCTTGCTAATATTTCCTCCAGAAGTTAAATTTCCCACATGACGAATTGCAAAAGGGGATGTCCACATTTGAATGGGTTTTACCACAAAGAAAGAAGCAGCATCTCCAAGGAAGTAGTTGTCAGGCCTGGAAGGGAGGGCTGTGCTCGGAGTACCAGCATCCACCCCCTCTTCGTGGCATGGCACTAGCAATTAGGGATGTCATCTCTCATCCCCTAATCG